AGTTCTAATATTCTTCTTAGATTGTATATCTGTTTTACTATATCTTCTATTTTTCTAAATCTTCTTTCAGAATCTTTTTCTATCTCTGACTTCATATGACTATTCTTTTGTTTTGTTTTATCTATATATCTACTTATTATGTAGCTCTTTATATATTTGTTTTGTTTGCACTTCATTACGTATTTCTTTTTTGTATAACCAAATAGATCTGCATGATAGTATCAAGTACAATTCTCACAAAAGTTCATAAAAAAACAAAAAAATTTGCGTTTTCTTAGATTTTCTTTTAGTAGCTTCTTGGTCTTTGCTTCTGAGGCTTTAGCCTCTTAAGAGATTATATGTTTCTTTTTGTTCTTTTTCTTTTTTCCTAAGGTTGCAAGTATTGTTTTTTAAGTTATTTTTTTTATAAATAAAGGTTTTTTATTTATGTATATTTGTGTACTGAAGATCAGTAAGAAGAGTTGTCTTACCTTTCTTATTATTCTTTTCGAGAATTAATTTAGCCTATTCATATTCTTTTTTTCTACTTTCTAATTTTTTTTTTACTTTCTTATATCCTTTTATATAGTTGAAGTTTAAAATACACTAAAGACTATCTTGTTCAAACTTCTTAGTACTCTTTTTAGATAAATATTTTTCTAATTAACTACTTTAATAACTTTTCCTTATAGTTTGTATTATCTTTAAGGACTTTTATTACTACTACTTTTGCTCTTATATTTTTGCTTTTTTTATATCTGTCTTTACTTAGTACTTATATGCTTTTCTCTAAAGAGAAATCAGATTCTACTAGAATAAGATCTTTTTCAGATTCTTCTGTAGTATTAATATACTAATTTGGAGTTGTTTTGTTTGTTTCTATTTCTTAGAATTCTTTAATATTTTCTATTCAAATATAATCTTTTTTACTCTTTTCAATTATTAGCAAATAATCTTTTTCTATTATTATTTCTATTTCTGCTATACTATTTTCTATTATTGATAAGTCTGTTTGATTCAATATTTCTATATCTGTTTTACTCTTACTTTTTTGTATTACTAAGTCTTCTTTTCTTATCACTGTATTTTGAGTTTTTACTTTAATATAATTTTAACTTTATCAATTCCTTCTATTATTACTACTTTCTCTATTACTTTTCTCTATTCTCTCACTACTTTTACTATAATACTATCTATTTCTAAAATTTCTGTAATCATTCTATCTATATAGTCTTCTAAACTCATTATTGCTTTGTTTCTCTCTGCTATTATTTCTTTACTATACTCTTTAGTTACTTTTCTAACTAATCTTGTTACTTTTCTCTGTTCTACATATTTTTATTCTATACAATACTTATCTAATTTATTTTATTCTATTCTACCTTGTGAATTTTCTAAAATTCTTAATATATTATTTTGTAAACTCTTAGAAGTTGTCTGGTTTTGGTTTAGTATCTATTCTTTTATCTATAATATCACATAATCAAATTCTATCTAAATTTCTAATCTTTGTTTATCTAATTTATATATTGTTATTGATTTTGTTATTGTTCTAACATATATTCTATTCTATTCTAATTATCTTTCTAATTTAGTAGTTTGTTATTTGATTTGTATATAACAATCTAATAAAATTTTTAAGATTTTTTTAATCTCTACTTTTTAAAAAAATAATATTTTCAAGTATTAAATAAAGCTATTTTTGCTATAAAACTATAAATTTTCTTCTTGGAGGAGCTGCTTTTCTTTTTTTATATGTATTTCTTTGTTATAAATCTTTTTCTTTAGACTATTTTGTTGTATTTCTTAATCAGATTAAGGAGTTTTCTATATAGTTTTTTTTTTGTTCTGATTTTAGTTCAAATGATCTACATATATAATAATTAAAATTGTATATATTACTAGTTATATACTTATCATATAATTACAAATCTTAAGAAATATCTATGTATAATTTCATATACTTAAATTAATAAAAGTCTAATTAGCTAAGATAGCAACCTTAACAACAAAAAAAAAGATATTAAAGTAAAATTTGATTAATTTAATTTAACTAATTTTTTTATTTATATATATACAAATATTCAAATTTAATTAAGTATATTAGAACTCTGTAAATTAAGTTGTACCAAGTTATTCAAATATTAGAAGTGTAGTATAATGTTATATGAAGAAATCTTGATAAGATCTATGAGCAGAGGACCTGTATAGTAGAAATCCCAAATTGATAAAGTAGTATAGCTTTTGACAGTTAAGCTAGTTAATGCTTGATCTGACAAAAAACACTACTAAGAAAGGTATAGATTAGAATAGATATGAGTAAGTCTAGTTTATAGCAGAGAATTGATAATACTAATCTGGCTTAGCAGCTAACTGAATTTGGAAGGATCTGTCTCATGAAATATCCTAAGAGTAAGAATACAGATACTAGTAGAGAGCTATGGCATGAACTAGAATTGTATGAATATTACAAGAGTCTAAACTAGATGAGTTTATAAAATAAGCACAGGCTACTCTAGTAGGTTTGCTTCGAGATTAACTAGAGCTCTGCAAAGCTCATAATATGTTGAGCATAAGTATTTCAAGAGAACCTAAGCTGAAGTTAATAAATAGATCTGCAATGAACTAGCTAGCTTAAGTAGTTAGATATTACAGTGACGTTAGTTTGTAATAGTATAGGTTAGTTGAACAGAGTGTTTAAATAAGTAACTTACAGGTAGGTTATAGGTATAGCAGCATAGTGTAGTACTAATAGGTGGTCTAATACCTGCTTAGAAACTACTTAAATTAGACAATAACTAAAGTTATACATGTAGCTTGTTGTATACTCTTTATGTAATTACAAACTGTAAGAGAACCCCATGTAGAACCTCATATATTAAACTAATAAAATTTGCTTGGCAATGTAAACCACCTTAAAAATTAAAAAAAAAATAAAGTATATTAGAAGGTCTAATAATTTTAGTATAGTAGTTAGATTGTCAGACTGCTATACAAGAGATCTAAAGTTCAAATTCTACTGTTAATAAATTTGAATAATTACTTAAACTTTTGTATTTAATTTATAGTAAACCCTATTTGTTTCTAGAAGTTATAACTCTATATATCATATTATATTAATATTAATCAAATATTAGAAATATGATATAATATTGAGTGTAATATAATATTGCATAAATAAATCTTAATAGAATCTATAAGCAAAAAATCTGCATAGTAGAAATTTTGAATTAAATAAAGTAGTATAGATTTTAATAGTTATACTAGTTAATACTTAATCTAAAAAAAAATTTATATAAGGTTTAATGATCTTAGTATAGTAGTTAGATTGCTAAACTATTATGCAAGAAGTCTAAAGTTCAAATCTTACTGTTAACAAATTTGAATAATTACTCAGACCTTTATATTTAACTTATAGTAAACCTTATTTGTTTCTGAGATTATAACTCTGTAAATCTTGTTGCACTAATATCATCCAGATATTAGGAGTATGATATAATATTATATGAATAAATCTTAATAGGATCTATAAGCAAAAAACCTATATAGTAGAAACTCTGAGTTAGTGAAGTAGTATAGCTTTTGATAGTTATACTAGCTAATACTTAATCTAAATAGAAACTGTTACTCAAAAGATGTAGATTGAGTTAAATATGAGTAAGTCTATCCTATAAGGAGAATTAGCAACACCAACTTGGCTTAGCAGCTAACTGAATTAAGAGAATCTACTTTGTAAAATATCTGAAGAGATTAGCAAACAATATCAGTAGAGAGCCATAGTAGGAACTAAGGTTGTATGAACATTACAAGAGTTTAAGCTAAGTGAACCTGTGAAATAAGTATGAGCTGTACTAGTAAGAATGCTTACAAAGTTAACTGAAACTCTATGTATTACAATATGTTAAGCAATATATATCTTGAGATGATCTAAGCTAAGTTAAGTAAATAGATCTGTAACGAACTAGCTAGCTTAAACAGTTAGAAGTTATAGTGATATTAGTTGATTCCAGTATAGGTTAGTTGAATAGAGTATTTAAATAGGTAACTCATAAGCAGATTATAGATATGATAGCTTGTATAAAACTAAACAGAGGATCTACTTGTATAGCAGACTACTTAAATTAGATAATGACTAAAGTAATATATATAACAGATTGTATACTCTTTATGTAATTACAAACTATAGAGAATTGTCAATAGACAATCTCATATATCTAACTAATAAAATCTGCTTAGCATAGTAAGTCATTTTAATTAATAAAAAAAAAAAGAAAAAAAAGAAAAAAAATTTATATAAAAAATACAAATTGAATAGGTATGAGTAAGATTGTTATATGAATAGTAATACTAATTTAGCTTAGTAGCTAACTGAATTAAAAAGATCTATTTTATAAAATATTCAGAAATATAGAGAACTAATTTGATAAAGAGCTATAAAAGGAACTAAGTTTGTATAAATATCTATAAGAGTATATGCTAGCTTAATTAGAATATAGCATAGCATATCCTTTTCTGAATAGGATTAATAAGATATCTTAAGATAGAACTTTGTCTACTAGGACAATTTGAGATACAAGTTGGTCTAAGTAGTCTTTGAATAAAGTAATATGAGATTAACATAGAATAAATATTAGATTAAAATTAGATTACATAAATATATTAGAAGATTTAAATATAATAAACATCATCAACTCTTCCTATTAATCCTCTGACTACTTTTTTCTGAAAAGAAAACCTGATCTGTGAAAACACTTTTTTATTATACAGATAACAATATTCTTTTCTAAGTATTCTATAACGTATTGTAAACTCATACTTCTTCACTCTTTTTATTAACTATCATATCAAATTATTCATGAGTAAATGATAGCTTTTTATGTTTATACTTTTTTTTATTTTCAGATTTTTAGGCTAAAGCAAAAATATGCTAGTAAATTATTATTTATATTAAAAATTTTTAATTTATTATTATTATTATTAACACCTTTTTCTTTATCTTTTAAAGGAAGGTGAAATATCAGCTAGATACTAGACTTAGTAGTTTCTGTTAAACAAGGAGTTTCAGATAAGACTACTGAATTTTCTGCAGTTTCTAAGTTAAAATCATTATTGCAATAATATTCAAAATCATCTTCCATCATCTCATAGTAATATTCAGAATCATTTTCTATTTTATCTAAGGTTTGTATTGAGACTTATATATCTAATATTCAAAGAGATTCAATTTATCAAGCAAAATTCAGTATGTTTAATTTGTAAGTTTTATCAGCTTTTATATAAATTTAGATTATTAATTACTTTAATTATATGATATAGTGTTTTACAAATCAGTCAGCCTATTACTAATACCAGTAAACTTTATTTTGTATATATATATATTCTTACGTTTTCATTAATATACGTAGAAATTAGACTAATTCTACTGAATGAATACTTAACCTTGATGCAACTACTTTTTTAGATCTTTTTTTAGAACAATGATATTATGATCAGTGAAGAGTATTGAAAACTTGAACTGATTGATATATTTTTATTTTTAAGGGTTCTAAAACTGAAGAAATACCGATCTCAGAATTGATATTAGAAGAAATCATAAGGTCAGCATTAGGAAATTTAAAAACTGATTATAATTGATTATTATTACCCTAAAATATTTAACGATTTAATTAAATCACTTTTAATCATAATCAATTATTGCTGATTTTGATTTAAATCAATTATTATCATACTCATCGATAATAATCACTTAAAATTAATCGATTACAATTGATTAACTATTATAAATTAGATTTTAAATTTTCCTGATAAGTGATAATTGTAATGATTTTTATAATGACATGTTTACTTTATTAAATTTTCTAACGCACTAACAGTACGAATAAATTCAATATTTCGAGCATACATACAATCTTTCTGGAATTTTAGAACAGTCCTCCATCAACCTAAAACCTTTCAATTATTTAAATTAGGGTTTTTCTTTTAAGATTATTTACTTTTGTTGAGCGTAATAAACCTTATTAGAGTTTATAATAATCCTCATTTAGGGTCTATAACCTGATTTGTAACTTTTTAGATGCAAATAAATAAATAAAATAATATGAATCAAGCTTGTAATACTGTATCTGGTCAATTTTTTTTTTTGAAAAAAAAAATTTTGTTGCTTTTAATTCATATGTATAATCTTGATCATAACTGAGCTATTTATTAATATATAATCATGTTAAATACAAGCGTATAAGAATTTTTAGCAATCTAGCAACTAGTAGTAAGTTAATGTAATACTTAAATAATTCAGTTAGTTCAAACTTTGAATGAGAAATCAAAGCTGCTAAAGATAAATTTAATCAGTAAGCTTTGATCAGATCAAGATCTGCATATCTTTATTTTGTAAAAGGCTAACAATAAAGTTTAATCTTTGAATTACATATATCATGTTCAGAATTAATTCAGATAAAAAATTCTCAAGCAGTTGCTAACTTGAAATCAAGAATGCAATATTGAATAAGGTGACTTGCTTGAGAACTTTAAATCATACTTTATAATAAGTATATCTTGCTAATTTAAAAAAAAAACTTTGAATATCTTCAAAAGCGAACGTATCTTTGAAAAATCTGAATAATAGAAGTTTAGTTAAATTATAATCTAAAGCCCAAAGTCTGGTTTTTCCTTTATGCTGCTCGTATATATATCTAGGATAAGGATCTATATAATTCTTATCCTTAATCTGATATTTATTAAGGATCTATTTATTGAAATAAACAAATTAGGATATCTGTATCTAATCTGAATTATCAGATCAATTCGAATTATCAGATTACGGATCAAAACACTAGTATTATAACACCTGTCTTTTAGAAGGCATTAAAGTAAGACTTATTCAGATAAGATCTAGGCCTATAATAGTAAAGTTTGCAACTAATATTAGCTTGGATGCCTTCTAATATGAAGTAGCATAGGGTTAGGATTAACTATAAGAGTAATATTTGCAGTAAGTGGAATAGGACTAGAGAGTTTAAATAGGGAATCTTCTAAGTGATTTTAGATATGGCAGCTAGTATAGAACCTTCGAACAGACTACTTAAAATAGATAACTTAAAATTGTATATATAGCTAGTTGTACTCTCACAATATGTATCACTTCTGAAATTTATAAAATTAATAAAGTTAGCTGATAGTATTTGTATAAAGTAAAAAAAAAAAA